GATTCCACCCCGGTGCTGTCATCAACAGCTCCAGTATCGACTGATTCCACACCAGCACTGTCATCAACTGTGCCCACAGACGACAACAAACTTCCACCATCGACGATGGTGCTACCCTCTGACGAAACTCCGCCATCAATAACTGTGTCTCCTCCAGAAAAGTCCTGCGCACAAACGCAAACAAATCTCAGACCAAGTGATTGCAAGAAGCTAAATGAGCACCTTCCGGTCAAACTTTGGTCTTCTAACCCAAACAGCGTGTCCACACGAAGGGGTTTTATCTTGCTATTGCACTAAACACACTGTTTTTGAAGAAAGGTTCGCACCCCGCACCCCCCAGATGTGTGCGAGCAGTCCCGTGCTCAAGAGTTGGTGCTCACTTCGCTTGGCAGACATAAATTCCAAATGTTTGCATGCTCCTAAGTGGATTTCCTCCAGTCGCAAGTGCAGAAGATCTGTTCAGATCGGTCATAGGTCCGATAGATACAAGTGTTCGACTTTTCATACGCATTTTGCGATCGCAAAGAAAGAATTGTTCTTTGGTCCAAAGAGTCCAAAGAGTCCAAAGGCAGAATCTAAAGATCTTGTGATGTCAGTGATCGTGTAAGTGATCGGCGATCGCAAAGGAATGCAAAAATGGTGTACGATCCGATCCGAAGTGATCTTCAGCAAGACGTCCACTGTTCAACAAAAAGACGAAAAGTAGAAGTCGCCTCGCAACCGAGGCTGTATTTCTGGCAGCAGAACTGCTTCTTCGTGTCTGACCAACCGGCCCTCAGCAGTTCCGCGCAATTTCGAGGCTCGAGATGAGTAGAAATGGTGCAACGCACATGTGGACAAACCAGACTAAGGTCGCACCAAATGGTTTCTCATATGTTCACTTCCATTCGCTTCAGTCTTCCCAAACAAGTCTCCGATAGTGGTTCACTCATGTCAAAATATCCGTCTGGTCCAATCACAATGCCAGGGGGGCTTCCAGTTTCGAACCCCAGCAGAACAGTCATAGTTGTCGTGGCTGTGGTGGCCATAGACCTCACACAAAACCTTACCCTTTTTGCCTGAATGGCATACACTAGGAGCAAGGACGCTACTAGAGAAAATGAATGGGCTTGTTTCTCAACATGAATGGATCGAGCGACCACATGGGTGACGTGAGTCACCACTGCAGCATGCTCATGATGATGAGCATACGGATCTCCACACCTGATAGAACCGAAGGGCAACCGGAGGAAGGTTCTAATTCACTCAGCGAGACAAAGAGCAAACTTCAAGGGATTTGTATGCGTTCAAAACATACAGAGCAATCCTTTCTTCTAGTTCTTTAGACCAATAAAGAGCAAACTTCAAGGTTGAGTCAGTTGAGTTTTTATCTGGTACTCTTCTCTGTATGAATCCATCATATTCGAAGTTTTCATGCAACTCAAAAATCTAAGCAATGGTCTCTGAACTGAAACATGCTGCCTTAATTGTCTTCTTCATAGATTCTCCTATTTTACAGGGATCTCAAGTCCTACTCCAACACGAGCGACAGTGTTCAAGCACTTGTATTAAAAGAATGCCAGGTGACGATTTAGTGTGTCAACGTATGAAACTGTGTCACCCTGTTTTTCACTTAGGAATTCTCATTGAATTCGTTGAATCCCACATTATGTAACTTCAGCCGCCAAGGGTTTCTCAAGAACGTTTGTGCAGGCCAAGTTGCGCGACATGGTGATGGGAGCAGCAGTAGTGCCTGGCTCGGCAATATGTCAGCCGCAAATGAAAGCTTTGCCCACAAAATGATCTACCATTTGCTGCGGAAGACATCAACAAAAATACTGAATATGCATCTACTGGTTCTGGATGTTTCTAGTGTTCTAGTGGTCTCGGGAATTGCTCCATGCGGTGCCTGTGATCATGAGACCAAGTCCGCCAGCCAGCATCCTTCCAGCATTGGTAGGCTTCGTGAGTCCTCAGCATATGCTGAAGCACCTGTAAACAAGAACGCTACTAGTAAGGTAAGTCTTTGACGCACTACACAGGGCACCATTCGACTGCACACAAAAACCAAATGTTTTTTGCAAAGAACGCTATCTGCAAAGTCTTTTTTCGGACATTCAAAACGGTTACACCACATGCTTGCATCTTGTCGTCCTTGTGGCTTCAGCTAAGGGCCAGGCTCGGTGTCATGGGTGTAATGATGTGTTATCCAATGTTCTTAGATGCCAAGAATAACATTTCACCATACACCAAGCAGAAGCTGCTGTAGGTAGACGAATTAAGAAGACGAAGTTAAGGAGTAGTGGGCATATTGTGGAATGCGGCTGGCTTCATCTTGAAGCTATGATGATTCCATTCAAAGCCAAGACGCCGCCCACTATTTTCTCACGGTTGTGGACGATGTGATGGTGGTGATGGTGAACAACCACAGGAACCGGCACAGGCACTTTGACAGGCACTTGAACCACTTGTACATGGTGGTGCTCCTACGCTTGGCAGGTGCTTGATTGAATAGTGCAGTGATGAGCAACGCTTTGGAAGAAACGCTCTTCCTTCTGAAGTAATCCTTCTTTGTTCTCTTTTTGTTCCTCTATGTTTCCTCAGTCTGCTCTTTCCCATATTTTCCCGAAGATCCGAACCCTCCAAAGCTCAGCCAGTCCTCCCGGCAGGCACGGCTGGCATGGACGCAACACCAATGCTGCTTCTCCAGCGACCAGTGGGAACGCCACTCGTGGAAGCCTGGCGCAGCCACCGAAGTGGAAGCGGCGCTGCGCAGCGCAGCCGGAGGAACAAGTTTCGAATGGCTTCGACCAGGTTTAGACATGAATTTTGAATGGCAAGGAGATTGTTGCTTTCACGACCCCTCAGCCGCCCTTAAGTTGTTTGGTCAATCTTGCTTTTCCGAAGCTAAGTGACCGTCGTCACAATCGAAAGGCTGAGGGGTGTCGCAGCCACGATGCAGACGGCCACCTAGTGAAAAGGGCATCTCAAAGAGCATCCCTTTGATCATCTCTGAAAAAAAGACTCTGACGTCTCTTTTGCTGTCAGAGTTTCTCTATTTCTTTACGCCAAAAGCAGCATAACTCTCATATTCCTGGCAATTACTTTTTCTGAGGCCATGGCAGCACCAAGCCTGCTCAAGAGATTGAGGCTCAAACAGGTGTCAATCTTGGAAAGGACTCTGAAAATCTGCAAAACGCATCAAACCGAAGCTTTGCATTCAAGCGAGCAGATCTGGATGCTCCAATTTTTGGCGAGCCGTGTAGCTCGATGGACGAAGCTGTGGCCCAAAGAGAGCCGCTTTCAGCGCCCACAGAGCCGGAAAAACGGAAAGCCACGAGAAGCTAGTAGTAACAAGAAGCTAGTAGTAACAGGTGCATCGCTAGTAGTAACAAGTGCCTTACTAGTAGTAACAAGAATAATTTAATTTGAATTGTAATTACTAGCTTCTTGTTACTACTAGTAAGGCACCTGTTACTACTTCCCGGGCACCATTTCCCGGAATGTCTCGGCACAATCCATCTTTGTCCATCCACTCCGGGATGGAACGGAAGAAGCCGAGAGATTTACTCCAAATGAAACTCGTGACAAAGTCACGATGTGAGTCACGCTCAGCTGAGCGCTCAGCTGCGAGACCCAAAACTCGACTGAGACTGGAAGTCAAAGATGGTCAGAGACGAGTCGACCAAGTCGACCAAGACTGCACATCCCGTCAGAGAGCTCCAGCCATGGCCCGCTTCACGTGAAAAACCTTGTGCAAAGGACGTACTGTCAGAGAGGTCAATTGTGATGTTTCAGCTCTTTTGGAAGGTCCAAATGTGTCGCCAAGAATGAAAGGAACAGTCTGGGTAAACATGCTGCCTTGCTACTAGTAGCTTCTTGTTACTAGTAGCGATGGCCTCCAACCTACTTGCGATGGCCTCCACCTAATAGCATCCTGCTGCGCCTCTCTTGTGTCTCAGTTCAGCAACAAATCTTGGAATGATGAAGGACATGAGGAAGCATGCGAAGCTGAAAATGGTCCACATTGTGGACGCTTCCAGGCTCCACTTGTACGCCTGGAAAACCAGTCTGACGAACCGGACATGTGATGTGACAAAAGTCGGGTTCGTTGAATCGCCCTCGTACCAAGTACCCCTTGCTAGAACACGAATCTAAAATTGTGGTCGAGACCAAAAGCAAAACACCGATATGTCTTCCTCGATCCTTAGAGGTGCCCCCCCATCGAGCAAGAGGAGCTTTGATGTCTCTGTACAGCGAGTTTTTAAAAATGGATGTCCTTGACAAGTCGCATTGTCTGCAGCATAGAAACCCATAGAGTAGAGCACAAAGAAGAGCATGAAAAGCATGAAGGACTGCCTTAGATTGCAAATAAACTGTAACTGAAAGTTCGGTCATCGTGTTCCAGCGCTGCACAGGTGCAATCAACTTCATAGCAACATGTCCAAGGAACCCATAGTTCATGAGCTTACCAGGCCATCGTGGCACAGCAAAGCGCTCGGTAAGGAACATTGTCAACTTCAAAACAAAGAGGAACCAAAACACCTCGGTGACATCCGGATGAAGAAGGTTCGATGCTGAAGAAGCAGAAAAATATACTGTACACATCCGAGATCATAAGGCAAAAAAGGCCAATCTGAAAGAAGATAAAGAAGGTCTAATTTAATTCTAATAGCTTCTTGTTACCACTAGTAAGGCACTTGTTACTAGTAGCGATGCACTTGTTCCTAGTAGCGAACATGGTTACTACTCTTCACCCTCTTGTTTTAGCAATTTGAAACAGAATTTGCAGTTCTCTACCGATGGCTTCGCTTCGCATTTCGCATCCGAGTCATCCAAGGAGCGTAGAAGCCAAAGGAACTTCCCAACAGCTCGCTGACGATGCAGGGGATCGGCGCACCAGCCTGGGCGGAGCCGCGGAGCTCTAAAGGCCTACTGTAGCGTCCTGACCTTGCTCCGTTCGTAGCGATGCCCTTTGTTCCTAGTAGCTTCTTGTTCCTAGTACGGCCAGGAGCCCCTAGTAGCGTCCTTTCAGGAACTTCAATGCAAGATATTCAACCAAAGCGTATCACAAATCCCGCCTTGACCAGGGCTGTGACCGTGTTCATACTGGCTGCGAAGGTGCAGGAGGAAAGAATCATGTAGTACCTCAGGAGGTCAATGCAGCTAGACACGGCGGTTCTATCCTGCCCTGACGTTCTGACGAATTGACTCGAGATAAAGACGTTGTTTGGAAGAGCGAAACAATAAATGTATGTCCTATATCATCAATGCATCCGCGCCAATCATGTCTCAGAAGTGATCCGGATGAGAACCGCACCAAAAGATTCAGACTCCGACTTCAACTGATTCGAAGAGAAACCTAATTTGTCAAGACCTGGTCTTGAAAGCACTACACTTTTGACAGATTCTTGACCTGATTCTTTCAAAAAGGCATTCCAAGCAGTGCTCTCGTCCGCATTCCAAACGCCAGGCTCACTGCTCTCAGTGCGCTCAGTGCGCTCGGTGCGCTCGGTGCGCTCGGTGCGCTCAGCGCTTCGAGCGCCCAAGGCACCCAAAGGGCACGTGGGTGGCACCCTGGATTAGCAGCTCCTCTCGCAAAGGGCCGCGCACATAGCGCATGAAGGCCTCCTTGCCTCGGTGTTTGGTCTTCCAGGTGTCCAGTCTGTCCAGACTAATGGGACTCAAGACCAGACTATCGCTACTAGGAGCAACGCTACTAGGGGCTCCTGGCCGTACTAGGAACAAGAAGCTACCAGGAACAAAGGGCATCGCTACGAACGGAGCAAGAAGACTAGACTAGACTGGACTAGTCTAGTCTCATCACGGAAACGCTTGAGACGCAACCGACACGTATCCCCACAGCCGTACGTACTACTCCCTCTTCATCGCTCCCCGGCTACTTGTGTAACAAATGGTGCTACGTCCCTTGTCTGCAGCAATGTCCAGGTCTCTCACCCCACCATGTGGGCTCTGCTCAGCCTGCTCCGCTCTGCTCTCACTTCGGCCCAGTCTCTGCCATACCACTTGACAATCGAGCTATGCACGAAGTTCCTGTCAAACTCCGTGCGGCAAAAGGCTTGCTCTAAGTCCTCAGGACGAATGCTTGGACATAAAGGGCTTGCTCTACCCTCTCGGCCTCTTGGCCTCTCCTTTCGTTAGCTCTCAAAAAGCTTCTCTCCTTTCTAGAGGCGTTGGCTCATGGACTTAGTGTGCTGCATAGACCCTACCTAGCATTTCAGAAGAATCCACAATGCATATTTCTGGGGTCGCCTGGTTTCGTGCACCTGCCAACCAGATCCCGAATGCAAAATTAATTAGGGCTGGACAAGCAATGCACTATGACTATGATAGAATAGGGGGGAGAGGGCTCTAGGACCTACTCTAGGATGCAGAAAAAAGTGCGAACGGAGTCAAGCAAGTCGGCCTTTGCAGTACAGGAGTCTGCACTTGTGTCACTTGCACCCAGCTTTGAAAATGGAATCCAAGTGTCAAAATCCTTAAGATCTGAAAGGAGCTTGAACTTCTCCTTGATGTTTTCTCTCAAGAGGTGCACCATCACCAAGACTGGAGTCAACCTGACTTCTTGAGTGTCCACTCATGCTGCCGCCAAAGGAAAGAAGTCGCTGCCAAGTTGCGCCAACATCTCAAGAACTAAGAATTCCTGGCAACAGAGCTTTGACCGTACACTAGCGGTTGCCTTCCAGGAAAGCCTCCAACACAAATAGGGTGGATCTCACCAAGGGGAGTGCAACTTAAGCAAACTTATCCAAAAAGATTATGGCGAAAGAAACGAGTTGAATAAGGAGTCACACTCAGACTTGAGCACCCTGTTACTTTGCAGCCTTATGTGGCCATATGTCTTGGCCGCATGGCCTGACCTGCTCCAGTCTCAAGGCGATGCCAATCCAGAAAAGAAAGGCAACAAAGTAGATGCCGAACCTCACATCTCCAAAAAATGAATTCAAAACAAATGCGAAAGAAAGGTTATAAAGTCAAAGTGTCTTCCAAGGACCTAGAGTGGAAATGTCCGAGGCGCATCAAATATAAGATCCCCATCTCTACGAAGAGGGGTTTCAGCGTGATCTTTCCCTCGGGGCATGCGGAACGATATGCTGCCAGCTCGAAGACGCACCTGGCGGTCGCTCGGCAGAAATGCCCGACGGTTCCGCTGGCACAAATGAGGCCATTTGGAAATTCCTAAAACCAAAAACAAAAACCGAAAGCAAAGGCTTGTCCTAATCACGGTCGAATGGCCAAAGGCGAGACAAGTAGGGTGAGCTCCAAAGCACTCGCAGCTCCTTGGACACACTGAGGAACCCACCTCCATCATGGCAGCAGTTCATTTGTCCCTAGACTCCAAACAAAGTTCACAGCACTTCATCCATGTTTTGCTTGTCTTCTTTCTTCCGCCTAGGCCATAGATGCCACGCTCCATGAGTTCCTCTCAAATCGAATCTGAACCAAATGCGATTCGGCGATCGAAGGCTTTTGCGACTGCTTGGCAATCGATGTCGTCGTCCTGGTCGGTCTGGTGGATGCTCACCACATCGAGGAAGCAGATTTGCTTCCGTGGCACCAGCGGCCGGATGTAGGGCGACAAGATCAAGCCGCTGAGAACCCCCAAAAAGCCACCGAGCATTGGCCAAAAGGCAAAGGACACCGTACCCTGAGGCCAAAAAGCACCAATCTCGGAAGAATGTGTGTGTTTTTGCCGTGCTCTTCTCGAGAATGTCATAGCGCTATGCAAACTCGGGAAAAGTGATCGAAATCCTTTACATGGCGTTACTTCCCGACTTTTTCAGCAGGATGTCAAAGGATACATTGGACCCCTACTAGTGTACCAAAGACCGCAACAGATTTGTGGTGACAGGAATGGAGACGCTTGTCAGCATGTGTCATACATGAAGTATATCTGCGTCGCTCCTAGTAGCGATGCCAGTAGTAGCTTCTTGTTCCTAGTAGTACGACCAGGAGCCCCTAGTAGCGTCCTTGCTCCTAGTAGCGGTGTTTTTCCAGCTTTCGCTTATCTCTCATGATTGCCACACTTTGCTGATTTAGGCTTGACTTCAGGTGGACCCTGGCTTGGTCTCACCTTGAAGGCAAACATGTCCACTTCCAACCTAAGCTGTTGGCTTCCGCGGTTTAAAGCAGACTGCAAAGCCAAAGCATAATCGGATGGTCGCAGTTCTTCGCACAAAGAGCTTGACACAGCATGGTGGTACGCTTGCATTCATCTAGATTCTAGATTTTAGATGTTGCATTGTTTTGGTAGACAGAAATCGAAAGCCAAGTGACGTGAAAGGCAAGGGCAATATTTCAGAGAAGATCAAGATCTCTGCAAGCCCCACACCGCAGAACCAGCCAAGCAAGGCGACCTTCCATCCTGACTGAAGGAGCAACGACACCACCTTCCGCCTGTCATTGCAACGGCAAAGCAAAAACAAAAGCAAATTGAAGTACCTACATTAGATAATGTTGGTTTAATCGTTGTCTACAGCTCCAACCTGGACTTTTTCTGGTCTTTGAAAAAGAAATGCGGAATTAAGAAGGAAGACAATTGACGCAGAAAAAGCATATTGCGCGCCTCCCAGGAGTCAGCCAGGTGTGTGAAAGAAAGACGTCGAAATGATCAGCAGGGGTGGAGTGGTTCCAGAGATTCTGGCGCTCCTGAAGCTAGAAATTCATGCTTCCACGTGAGAAAGAGAAAAGAAAGAGCTTTGGGCTGTGAAGACATGAACTTCCAATGACTTCCCACTACCTTTCTCTACAGCAGCTAGTTTTCTTCTGTCCTTCAATCTTTCCCAAATTCCATGGCACTGTTTTGCGCTTTTGTAAAGGCACATTTGCTCGATCTCAAAACGAACACGGCGTTCCTGCTCGGTCATGTCAAGGGGAGAGCGTCGCCAAAGCCTTCCTCCCCACTGCAGGGATTTGCTCAGCGAGATGCCGCGAATGATCTCTTGATCGACCTTCACAGGTCACAGGGTCGATCCTTAGGAAGCTAGTAGTAACAAGTGCCACGCTACTAGTAACAAGTGCCTTACTAGTAGTAACAAGAAGCTATTAGAATTAAATTATATCTAAATTAAATTAATAGCTTTTTTGATACTACTAGTAAGGCACCTGTTACTAGTAGCGTGGCACTTGTTACTAGTAGCTGACTTGTTACTACTAGTAAGGCACCTGTTACTAGTAGCGTGGCACTTGTTCCTAGTAGGAATGGGACTTTTGTCTCGGACAAGTCACTCTTTCAAAGGAACCTTTGCCCCACCTCAAAGTGGTCTGTGTTAACGATGCTCTCCAGTCGCAAGCGCGATGCTTCACTGGGGAACTTCAGCTCTGAGCGCTCTGCACTTGCAGAACTTACATGCTCAGCGGTAGGTTTTACGGTCAGTACTTCAAGCGCAATGTCCGTTGCCGGCTCTTCCTGGAGCAGGTCAAATGAATGGGTCACGACTTGCAACGGCAGAGGCTACCACTACTCAAGCTGGCACATGCTATGCAAAGATATTTATATAATGTTGTTATTTTAGAAAAGTAACAGTCCCTTAGCTTCCGGACGTTTCAGCAAACAAATCACGATATGATTCTTTCCAAGAAAGGAAATCAAGTCAAGTCGCCCTACGTCGGCCAAATCGCACATATCTTAAGCAAATGATCTTTGGCTCATAAGTCAACGCAAAATCGGCTGGGGGAGTGAGCTGCGCCTCACTTTCTGTCATCTCATGCGTCACTGCTGTGACCTCCACCGGTGGCACATCTGCTTTCTCCTCATTGCAGCAGCTGGTGTTGCTTCCCATGGCACAGGCAACACAGTCTTTGGCAGAAAGTGCAGTCTTCGGGTCATGCGAGCTTCTGATTCCATTCTATCTTCTCCAACCTACTAGCGATGGCCTCCATGCATATCATCCTTCATGACCGACATGGACGCTTTTGGCATAGCTCTTCATATTGGTCATTAGGCGACCTCTTTTGAGGTATGTCAAAGCTACAAGCCATGTGACGTTCAAGCAGGCAGCCAATCAATTCTGCTAGCTGTACGGGACCGTTCTCACCAGGCTTCAAAAAACTCAATGCACAATGCGTTCTAGCTTCTTGCTACTAGTAGCGATGCCAGGAGCCCCTAGCAGCGTCCTTGCTACTAGTAGCGATGCCAGGAGCCCCTAGCAGCGTCTTGCTACTAGTAGCGATGCCAGGAGCCCCTAGCAGTCCTTGCTACTAGTAGCGATGCCAGGAGCCCCTAGTAGTCCTTGCTACTAGTAGCGATGCCAGGAGCCCCTAGTAGCGTCCTTGCTACTAGTAGCGATGCCAAGAGCCCCTAGTAGCGTCTCTGCTACTAGTAGCGATGCCAGGAGCCCCTAGTAGCGTCCTTGCTCCTAGTAGCGATGTCAGGAGCCCCTAGTAGCGTCCTTGCTCCTAGTAGCGATGCCAGGAGCCCCTAGTAGCTTCTTGTTACTAGTAGCTTCTTGCTACTAGTAGTAATTCATGGCCTCCAACCTAATGGCGATGGCCTCCCATCCTAGTAGTTTCTTGCTACTAGTAGTTCACAAGCCTCCTCTCCAGAACCTCGACCTCGCCTTCTTGTCCGCCGACCAAGTTCGCTGCCAATTGCTGTATCCTGCATCACAATCAAAAACCACCTCGGAAGATAACAGAACGGACGACTTCTTCAGCTACATTAGTGCAACCGGCAAAACGCATAAAGGCTGAGCACGCCGGCCGGGTTGGGACAAGCCACGTCGTATTTGTTACAGCACCAATACCTCCACGAAACTCAGAGATGAATCACAAACTGAAAACAAGAGGTATGTTTTATCACAACCTGCACTTTGGAAAAACTGAATGCATAAATGCACAATTTGTTTGACGTTTCAGCTTTCAATTCCTTTACTTTCAACTCTACTTTCAACTCAATTTTGCAAATCGCAATCCGAGGGTCTTCTTGTGATCACTCCAGCCATTTTGCCAGTTTGTGACCTCGCCAACAAGCTTAAGAAGGTGTGTCAAGGCACGTCTCCAGTCCGCATCATCCTCTTGATCTTCATGTCAGAGAATTACAAATGTTAAGTTCAAGACCTAAAGGACCTAAGGCCACCTACGTTGGTCTTGGACCAAGGGGTGGCAAACTCTCAAAGCGTCTCAACTAGTCTTTGATTAATTTATACACCTAGTAGCAAGGACGCTATTACGTGGAGGCCATCGCAAGTAGGTTGGAGGCCATCACTACTAGGAACAAGAAGCTACTAGTAGCAAGGATGTCTTTTATGTTTTGTCACTTCGGCTTTGGCATTTTAGGCCCTGACACCCGCACGGCAGTCATACGGCTCAGCCACGTCGCAGCCACGGTTCTCAGCAATAAAATATGTGTTCTGTGTTCTCGTTCAATCTTCACGGTTCGCGAGTGATGAAGTCTTCTTGTCAAGCAAAGCATTAGCTCCTTGTCGTGAGTTAAGGTGACTGAGGGAAGGTTGTCAAAGACCTTGTCAGTCAAGGTATTCGGGAAAGGGGCTTTGTGATGGCCAAGCAGCATGTTCTTTGCAGCACCAATTCTTCTTGTCAGAGCTCCAATCGGCCTCACATCAGCTCACAAAAGCACTAAATGATTGAATCATCGTTTCATTGACAAATCAGCTGAGAGCTATGACAAATCAAAAAAAATAAATATATATATATATATACAGTATATATGTTGTTTCAGTCTCCTCAAGGAGGCAGGTATCATGCATTGGCTCAAATCAAAGGAGCCTCTGTTCCACTGCAGTCGAACTGCATTGTGCTTCCACCTGCGCAAGCGTCTGACGAAGAAAGGATTGTGAATGGTGTCGTCAGATGTCACAGCTGTGTGCTGCAATGTGCTGCATAAAGCTACGCCGCTACGTGACGATGAAAAAAGTATCTGATCACTGCACCACAGGGTCACAGCTCCTGGACAGCTGCCCTCGAACTCACAGCACCACTTCTTCTTTGCCTGCAAAATGCAAATGAAAAGGAAGGAAAAGGAAGCTCTTTTGATGTGTTCCGATCGAACCTCTCCTGCCGAAGGAAAGCATCTCCCCACGTTTTGGGGCTCAAAACATCTTTGGACTGGCTAAAAATATGCAAAGCAAAAGTAGGATGCATGGCATGCCTTTGACAAAATGAACACCAAACCGGTCAGCCTTTGTTTCCAAGTTTTGTAGTGACCCGGCAACCAAACCGAGCCTCTGACCAGGCTGCCTGCCAGTTGCCTCGGGCAGCTTGGCAATCGTACCTTGGAGTGAATTCAGGTTGGATTGTGATGACACCGGCCAGTTTGTGGCCTCAGGCTGTTCTATCCACGCTCCAAGTTGCGGCTGTGCAGCACATCCATGACCCACCCGTGCACAGCAATAGGCCTGCAGGGCAAAGTGATTTTGTAAGCTTTCCTTTGGAACTCTTGGAGGGAGTCCTAACAAAACATCACAGATCTCTACAAATCTCAAGATTTTCTAAGCTGCATCACTTCTTGCAAAAAGATCAGACTGTCTTCGGACATCTTGTCTGCCTTTTTCTCATCAGTCCACACAGTTTCCCAGCTGTCGATCGCTGCTGTGCAGTCAAACCTTAGATTCGAGCCTGTGGGGTGCACTCTCACAAAAATGCAACAAAGGGAACCAAAAGAAATGCAGGAGCAAGGACGCTACTAGGGGCTCCTGGCATCGCTACAAGGACGCTACTAGGGGCTCCTACTACTAGGAGCAAGGTTCTCAGGGATCCTCTTCTTCGGACCATCGAAGCCAGTTGGATGCACCCACTGTCCCATTTTTTCGAATCACAATACGTCGGAAGATCGGAACGTTCGAACAATGCAGCCTGGGCTCCTCAGACCTACGAAACTCGAAACTTGGATCGAAGGACAAGTCGACAGCGGGCATCTGCCAAGTCTACCGAAATTCCATGCAGTTCCTCTTCTTTCACGTGCCTGCTAGGTTGCCCACGGCTGAGTGGAACGCCCTCCAGTGCGGTTTCAACTTGACACCGCACAAAAAGGGACTGTGTGTCTACGCCGAGTCTACGCTCTCAGTGTGCAAGGTGCAAGCATTACCTCCCGCAACTGCTTTGGCTAACTACGGATTGCACAAAGTTTGCACCTGCCAGAGATGGCGTATCCCACCGCAAGCGCAGCTGCAACCAACACCAGAAAGCAGCAAGCAAGGCCTGGGAAAGTCAGGAGTGAAGTACCTTCATCGCTACTAGGTTGGAGGCCATGGCTATTTGCAGAAAACAAACCTTCACAGCTCTCCTGTCGATGAGAGGTGAGAGCGAACTTGGGAGACCCGCCCAGCTGTTCCGAACATATCGCCAAGCAACTGGAGAAGCGGCAGCGCCACCCAGTGGGAAGGACCTCCCGATCCCAGCTGCCACGGCCCTGACGCATTGAGGTGTGAAATCCAAACAGAATCACCCTAGGCCTCCACCCTAGAAGCGATGGCCTCCACCCTGGTAGCGATGGCCTCCACCCTAGTAGCGATGGCCTTCTACCTACTAGC